AAACTGTACTGTTTTACACAGATGATGCGTCACGACTGCTACTCACTTGCATGTTTATCTGCAAGCTGGATGAGGCTGTGGGAGATGTCTCTCCTTCTGTAGAAACAAACTACCTTGGCCTCCACGTTCCCACTGGCAGTCTAAAAGAGAGGAGGAGAGACATCCAGGTTGACTCAAATAAGTGGCAACACCTACCTGTGCAACCCTGTAATTTCCCAAGAGACCTGGCTCCTTTGTGTACCTATCAAGCTGTGCTCAAACTCAGCCAGTATTAAATGTCGTGACTGATGACTAGATGTGGGGGTAAAAGGTTTGAAAAAGGTTTGAAGAAGAAGAAGAAAAAAAAAAAAGAAACAACTTATACTCCCCACCTACCTGCTTCCAAGTTTGTGTACAAAAGCAAATGTATCTATATAAAAAGGGATCTGGAGTAAATAACAGGAACAACGATGTGCATATCGATGCACTAGCTAAAGCCACAAAAATGTCCATCGTGCTTGATCAAGGACTCCATTTCACCTTTACCAACACGATAAGCTTCATACAGCTTGTATTTGCAACAGCAGAGCTTTATTAAATGGTATCATGCTGCAGGGACTTCCTGTTACTTCATCATTTATGATAATTACGATGTCTCCTGTCTTTAGATTATAACATTGAGCCTCAGTACACTCTTTCAGGATGATAATGTGATCTAGCATTATTCCACCCACACAATCCGATAATGACCTGCATTTATCTGAACATCTCAGTGCAAGCATGACACAGGAAAAGCTTTTACACACCTATTAACAATGCTTGTGAAGGATTTCGAACAAAATAAAACAGGAATTACGGTAAAATGCCGAGAGAAAAAAGAGAGAGCAACAACACTGCTGTTCAAGGTTGGTATCAGCTTATAATTAAAATAAATCTGCATCTTTAGCCCAAAGCTACATGAGCTTGTGAAATGTTGATAATAGTCACCCCGCCTACACACACACAGGTGTGTCAAGTCATACTAATGACAGTTGGTAGATCAGGGAACACCTGTCTTTTCAAGTCATATTACAAACAAGGTCACAAAATCCACACAAACAATGGGAAAGTAATAGGGTGGGGACAGGAGCACAGAGGAATTCAAGGAATTCTCTAACATATTCTCACACTCATGAAAATGAAAAACGCACACATCAGTACCTTATTGAGTTCTTCTATCCGACGGATCAGGTAAGGGTTACTGGAGGAGTTCTCAAAGAATACATAGTCTGCAACAGGAAACACGCATATCATATATTTAAATATATAGACCGCATGAACTAATACATTGGCGCTACAGTAGGTCAAATCAAAGAATATGCATGTCCTTTAAATCAATAAATATGTGCAAAGTTGTGACTTTCAGAAAGTGTTGCACCAGAAAAGTTAAAAGGAAAAATCTATAGTCAACAACCACCAAGTTATGGGTGAATAAAAGTGCAAAATTATCAGTCTTTCAACCTGTTGCCATATGTTACCACACTGTTTCAGTTTGTATGAAAAAATAAATTAAAGACAATAAAAACTTCAATATGCCATTAAAAAAAAAAAAAAAAAGATTGCCCATGCATATAAATAACATCACCAGATGCCAGTATAGCTCTCTGGTTTTGAGTAGATGACCCATATGCCGTAAGCCTAATGCAGAAGCACTGGTTTGAATCCCCATCTTTCTTCCAGCTTATGTGTCTTCTAGACACTGCCAGTTCCCAACAAATGGGACAAATAAAATAAATGTAACAATATCTCTTTTTTTTTTATTAAACTTTACACAACTTTAGGTTGTGGCAAAGGCAGCATTCACACAAAGTCTGATATATTTCATTCCACATGTTCCAGACTTTTAAACGGTGAAGCGGCATATTTTTCAGAGTTGTGCATGTCATTAAAGTCTATGTATCATCATGCTAATGTGTATGATAACTCTCAGCCTCTGGGATGGGAATGTACTGCACATCAGTGTTGCAATGCTGTAAAAAGTCAAAACCAAAACAAACCTTAAATAAATGAATAAACTACAGATCCCATCTTTTTTTTTGTTTGCAATGTAGCAGCAAAATATTGACTACATTTGTTAAGACTTGTTCCATACAGGGAGAAAAACTGTACCTGAATGTACCTGGAAGTTTGTGTGTCCTATCGACAAGTTCACGGAGTTTACAATGAGCACCTAAAAGCAGCAGAAGTTAGCCTAAAGGTGACGTGAGGGGACAATAAGCTGATGCACCTCGAAAATACCGGTTATAAAGTGCTGCAAGATATGTCATTAGACGCCTATAGTTTGCGTGGCATGTCAAGCATTAATGCAATTAGGCTACGTGGCCGTCTGTGTATGTATTTAAAGCTCAAGTATTCCTGAATAAATGTGTAAAAGCAGACGCAGCGACGCCATGCGCGGAGACAATAATTTGATGTTGAATTCCAGTAGACTGCTAAGGAGCTAGCTAGCAAATCAGCCAGCCTGCATCCCTGTTTGATAATTAATTGCACTTGTGGTTACTGTAGGTGGTCACTTTGGCAAAACAGTTTGGCACCTGATGTTACCGAGATGGTTAAATACGATCATTAAATGCAGCAAACGAGCGCTGAGACGGCATTAATGGTAATCAGTGAAGCCATCGCTGGTGCTAACGTTAGCTAAATAAGGTCTCGTACTAATGGCTGCATGCCAGGAGTGGCAAATACAAAGGCAGCTTCAGACTGTCCGTGGTAGCATGTTAACAACCTTTGAAACACACGTCTAGTCGTGAGGTCTATCCGTGTAGAAGCCCCCTGTATCCCCTGGTCTAAGAATTCAGAAACCCGGGGAGCAGCAAACAAGTGAAAAATGTTTACATTGCCAGCTAACCATTTAGCAAGCTGGCGGCTAGCTGCTGTGGCCACGACAGACGCGAGGCCTGACCCATTTTGAATCTCAAATATACACCAACTCTCACCTTCCTGCTTCAACTTAACGCGTCCGCGTTGCTGTAGCACATCCGCATCTCCACCATTAAATGCAAACGGCTCAAAATAACACAAAATAACGCCCAGAAGGTGCAAAACTGTAACGGTTTCTCTTTGATAAAAAGATCCACATTGACATACATACCTCCGACCCGGTACATGTTGGCCGCCATTTCTGCCCTCCCAGTGTGCAAACCATAAACTAAGAGAAATGGAATAAATTAATAAAAACAATAAAAGTTACTCTCTTTGAAGGGAAAAGGAGCGACAAATTAAGATGGTCGGGACTCCGGATGTGTAACCTATCGGGAGAATTATGGCAATTCAACCCCCCCTCCTCCTTCGAGTCACAGCACCCTTTATGATACAGTTAACTCACGGCAGCCAAAAGAAGTCGGATCAACCCGAAAAACCACTGCTGACGCTGGAGGGGGCCCGCGCACGCGCAGCACAACCACACGCGGCCCACACGCGCAGACACCAGCCCACCTCAGAAAACATAAGAAAGCAGTATGTACATTATTTTTTAGGACATTTTTATATCTGTAAAGCCAGAAGTTTAAACTCGAATCTAATCATTGAAACTGAGTCTCTCTAAAATTCCTAACAAATCAGAAAGGGCTCTAAAACTTAAAAGGAACTGTTTACATGAAGAAGTCTCTGTGTTGTTGTTGTTGTTGTTGTTGTTATTATTATTATTATTATTATTATTATTATTATTATTATTATTATCTTTTACGCATCGTTACATGATCCACCTTGACCAGAGTGGACAGAATTAGAAATGAGTACGTAATTTATAATTCTAATAACTTTAGAGAAGCGAGGCTTAGATAGCTTGGAGGGATATACTGTGATATATTAGAAAAAAGGATGTTAAAGATTTACCTTCCAGGCAGTAGTAAAAGTAGAAGACTTCGGAGAAGATTTATGGCTGTATTGAAGAAAGATATGCAGATGGTTGATGTAACAGTGACATAGTGAGATGAAGGCAGATGATGCTGTGGCAAAGAAGAAGAAGATTCAATATATGATTATGTTTTGTATACTTGATGTAGACATCCATCCATCCATCCATTCCCTTATCAGGCAGGCAAGGTACACCCTTGACAGGTCGCCAGTTTGTCGCACGGCTAAAACATTGATGTAGATATTATTATCTAGGGGCGTGAACCAGCCCTAGATAATAACGGGGCGATCGTGGCTCAAGAGTTGGGAGTTCGCCTTGTAATCGGAAGGTTGCCGGTTTGAGCCCCGGCTTGGACAGTCTCGGTCGTTGTGTCCTTGGGCAAGACACTTCACCCTACTGGTGGTGGTCAGAGGGCCCGGTGGCGCCAGTGTCCGGCAGCCTCGCCTCTGTCAGTGCGCCCCAGGGTGGCTGTGGCTACAATGTAGCTTGCCATCACCTGTGTGTGAATGGGTGGATGACTGGATATGTAAAGCGCTTTGGGGTCCTTAGGGACTAGTAAAGCGCTATATAAATACAGGCCATTATTATTATTTTATTTTGCTATCAAATGAGCTGGTATAGAATATTTGCATTGCTAAGTTAAAACAATTACTATTTTCTTTATGTTTGTTCAAAACAAATACATAAATAAATAAAGCTGCACAAATCTGCATAAATCAAAATAATAGTAAAAAAACACCTTTATTTGTATAATAATAATACTAGCAATAATAACAATAATAAATTATACATGTGTGCATATATTTCTCTTGCTATTTTTTTTCTATTATACTTACCTCAACATAATGTATCTTTTGTTTCACAAGTCATATATAAGTATCTCTATCTATCTTAATCAAATGATATAAAATGGTCAACATTTTAATAATGGTGCAAGCATATCAAATACAAGCTTCATATCTATTTTTTTGTCAGTGTAACAGGGAATATTACAGTGAGACATAACTAAGCTTTCTTAAACAAGAATTTTCCTCCCGGTTTTCATCATGTTTGACGATAATTTCTCATCTGCTTCCAGGAGAATCTAAACAGTATTTTATAGGAAGAAACAGTCTCCACTGTGGACTTAAATCACATATTACGCTCTATACTCCTGTTGCTTATGGATTTTTCTCTGCGTGTGTCCGCGCGCGCGCTTGTGACATCACTGATGGGATTGGCTGGAGCTGACTGGGGGGATGAGTCTCTTCTTCAGGCTACAGAGGGAGACGGAGAATAGAGTCAATGACAGAGGGAAGAGTTAACAGTTAGCAGCCACGGACCTCAGCGCAGGGCCACCTTCACTCAAAGCGAACCACGCCCCGGGGCAGGGGAGACGAGTTCCCCAAGTGCCCAAACTCCTGCGATGCAAGGAAGAATGGACTGTGAAGAGTTCTTTTAGGCTTTCATGATTTAAGTTGTCAAAATGAAGTTCGGGAAGAGCATCTGCGTGCTTAACGTCGGGGGAACCCGGTACGCCTTCACCCGTGAGGTGATCAGGGATTTCCCTCTTCGACGCGTCAGCCGCCTGATTGCCTGCGCAACCGAGAAAGAGGTCCTCGAACTCTGCGATGACTACGATCGGGACCGGAATGAGTTTTTCTTCGACCGCCACGCTCAGGCTTTCGTGTTTATTATGTTGTACGTGCGCTCCGGCAAACTCCGATTTGTTCCCGGAGTGTGTGAGCTGTCCTTCTACACAGAGATGCTCTACTGGGGACTGGAGAGCGCGCACTTGGACTCCTGCTGCCAGAAACGCCTGGACGATAGGATGTCCGACATCGGACTGGACACACTCTCTGAGGGGGACATCGAGGATGAGCCCCAGAGCACAGGGGAGTCAGTGCAAGAGGCTGAGCTCACATGTCGCGCTAGGTGGCTCGAGAAAATGCGCAAGGCTTTTGAGGAGCCCAACTCTTCCCTTGTAGCGCAGCTTTTGGCTTCAGTGTCCGTGATCTTTGTTATCGTTTCTATGATCATGCTGTGCGCTAGCACCCTGCCGGATTGGGATACAGCCAAGAGAACTACTGTGGAGGAACACAGGTAGGCGATTGTCAAGGGTCAGTTAACTTGAAGGAATAGAAGCCCCCTCATGAAAATGCTGCCAAATGTTTCGGCGCAATGTGTGCGGATATCCTACAACTGAGACAGTCTTGTGTAAAAGTGAGCGGAACAGATGAAATCGTGTCAAATATTTGATTTTGTCATTACAAGTAGCATAAATAAATAAATATACCTCTTAACATTTGATCATGCATGAGTTCAAGGCAACGGCCAAAGTCATTGCGCACTAATATTAACCACGAGGTGGATGCATTGAGATGTTTTCTACTTCAGCTTTTTGAGTGTTTTCTAGGATGTTTGGTATAATAACATAAAAATAAGAATGACAGCAAAGCAAGATATTTAAAACATCCATGTATTACGTTGCCTGCAGGGGATTTGTTCTTGTGCTTTAGTGAATTGATGCCCCTGAACTCAATATGCCCGCTGACAAGTTTCAGGCAGCACATTACACCTTAGGCTCCTCACATGACAGCCGGACAGGCCCCCGAGGAAGCAAATCAATAGCCAATCCATAGCTTTCCCCTCTTATTTCTCCCACCCTCTTCACAGTTAGTCTGAATATGTTTACTGTCCTGCTTAGTTTACACTGCATTGCGCACATGAAGGGCAAACATCAGGTAATCATAGATTCATAATATTTGAGTGGGCAATGAGATAAAAGTAGAATGTGTACTGAGGGGATTATATAATAGTGCAAGCAAACAAAGAAATTAGGCCACTTACAGGAATCATCATAAGTCAGAGTTTTGTTTCTTTAACTTAAGCATGTAGGCGCAAAAACGTGTATCTCCATGTCTGCGTGATTTTGGCCTGTACTTTCCTGGAAGCCTGAGCTGCCCATTCTCTATATAAGGTTAGGTTATGCTCCCTCAGGCTGGACATAGTTTTGAGTTTTGGATCAGCTACAGTGGTTAAGTAGCCAATACAAGTGGCTTGTATACTCTGAGGGCAAAAGGATTCCAATTTAGTTTCATGTCATTAGATGATGCAGTTCTCTCAGTTGCTACATAATTTGGGTTGCTGCAACTATTCTGATAGTTGCTTTGCAGGTATTTTTGTCATTTCTGGGCTTCACTGCATTTATATCTAATGCAAGAATCATCATTCTCTAATTCATTTTGACTGGCCTTGCTCTGCTTGTCAATGGGGTAATTATGTGACCGTCTTTGACACAGTCTTTCTTTGAAGGGTTTAAACCCTCCCTCTGTGCAGTTTGCCGGAAATTTACTAGCCCATGTATCTGTCCTGCTGTCTTTGTTTACTTGTGCCAGGCCTGAACTGTGACAGCTTTGTTCCTTATTTCCCATCATTTAACTCCCCTTGCTTTGCTTCCTCCTTCCTCACATTTACTGACTGCCAGGCAGTATTTCATATTTCATGCCATCCATATCTCACTGTACCTCCTCTGTCATTTCCTGTTTACAGTGTGTGCAACTAATTTTTCTTCTATCTTCTCTGTAGGATAGTGGAGGCAGTGTGTATTGGCTGGTTCACGGCAGAGTGCATAGTGCGCTTTCTGGTGGCTAAAGACAAGTGGGACTTCCTCCGAAGGCCACTCAACATCATCGACGTGATTGCCATTACCCCTTACTATGTCACTATGGCGATGGCCCGGGCAGGGATGCCGGGTGCTGGGCTCGGGGTTGCTGGAGTCATACTGCGAGTCCTGAGGATGATGAGAGCGTTCTGGCTCATGAAGCTGGCCAGACACTTCCTGGGACTGCAGACTCTAGGGTTGACTCTCAGGCGCTGCTACCGAGAGATGGTCATGTTGATGGTGTTTGTCTGCGTTGCCATGGCTATATACAGTGCCCTGGCCCAGCTACTGGAACACGGCTTGGATCTCGAGACCCAGAACAGTGATTATGCCAGCATCCCTGCTGCTGCCTGGTGGGTTATTATTTCAATGACAACAGTGGGTTACGGGGATGTGTACCCGGTAACAATCGGAGGACGGGTGCTTGGGGGAATGTGTGTAGTGAGCGGCATTGTGCTCCTGGCGCTGCCCATCACATTCATCTACCACAGTTTTGTTCAGTGCTACCATGAACTCAAACTGCGCTCTGCCAGATATGCACGCAACCTGTCGGCAGAAATGCTGCAATGAACATGTCCTATCCTGCCTACCATCCTGCCGACAAAAAAAAGAAACTCTAATGACCAGAAGACCATCAAATGTTTGATGTGCCCTTTTTTCCTTCCAGATTTTATTTTGTCCAGTCTAGATCCAGGTACAATAAATTTCCTAGAAAAACCCTTTAAACATTCATATATCAAACAGAAAAAAGAAGACTAAGAAAACATAACATTTAACAATTGTGAAATTCTGCAATATCTTCATGTGTTTCAGTTTATTTTGTTTTTGAAGTTATTTTTATTTCCCCTATGCATCAGGAAAACAAATTGTCATTATAAAAACAACTATCTGTGAACATTTAGTCAGTGCAAAATATATAAATGTCAGTGAAGGACATTGGTAAATGGCATCTTGTTTACCAGTAGAACAACATCAGTCAACAAGGCTGATACAGACAGCAAGGCAGATATGTTGGAGTATACCTACCAAAAAAAAAAGGACAGAAAATAACATAAACCAGACATACAAAGATGGACTATACAAATATATTAACTTAATAGTAAAACAATAAATTAATATGTTTGCTTATGTTTTCAATAATTTATTCTACTCTGAGTTGACAAAACAAGATATTTTCAAGTCAGTGAAAAAATAACACAGAGCTCATATTTAAAGGTACTAAGCTTATTTTAGTCAAACACAAAATGAAACATAAATGCTGTTGTTTTAATTCCTTAACACTATTAGAATAGCTTTGCATGAATTATTGTTCAATAGGGCCTTGTGCAACCCCTCAGTTCACCCACTGTCTGAAATAAGCTGTTATAGCTTTCTCCCTTTAAAGGCACCCTCCCTTTAATCCAACTTTCTTCTGATTCACTGTCCCTTGCAGACAGAAGCTCTGAAAGGCTGATGGCTGGGGCTTTTGCACTCATAGACAAAGCTGTGTGCTTGAGATGATCATGTTAAGTATATCTGCTGTTTTTGGTATCTCACAGATCTAAGTGTGAGCATCAGAGCAGACTAAAGGCTACTTGTACATATACACATACATATCACTATTTTTTAAACTTTGTTTAATATGAGATTTCACCAGTGCAACATTATATATGACAGAACATAAGTAAAAGAATAAAATCTATTTTAAAACAGGTTTAGACCAAAGCTTCTAATACATGATGTAGAAGTTTAAAAAAGTGTGACTATAATCAAAATAATGCATTAAAAACACTACAAATAAAAATTATATCATGTATTTACTAAGTCACATTATGTTAGAAAAAGAAAGCGCAGCCAATTGTAAATCATAGTATGTACCATTGAGATGAAGTAGATCAGGGTTAAAGCACTTCAATAGGCTGTAAAAAGAAAAAAAAAGTCTCTCGTGTGGAACAATGCAGAGCACCAGCACCAAAGCTTACCTTCACGAAATGATCGATGTGTGGTTGGAAGATAAGTTCAGAGTCAACCCACACACATAAATATTTCATTTTTTCCCCCGTTTTCTGAAGAGCTCCAGCATCATTATGGGTTAAATGCAGCAAATTAGATTTAAGTTGATGTTCTGTCTCAGGCCAAAGAGCATAAAGCAGGTTTTTATTGAGCAGTAATTTGTTATCTGACAGCCAAGTTTGTAGGTTATTAAAGTCTGATCGCAGAGCCTTTTGTATGTGTAGAATAGAAGCTTTTGTTTTCATTGTCTTGAACCAACATGTTGTGCGACTCTCTTCTTAACTGCACCATACGTAACAATAGGAATACACAGATATTTATTTATTAAACGCAGACAGGTGCAGTCAATCCAGATCTGACAGCGGCTGCTGTTTACTCATATTCCCCTGGTTACAACACTGGCAGAGACGGCTGCGTCAAGTGCAACGTGTGTGTATGTTTGTGTTTGTTTGTCTGGCCATCAGCCTTTCACTTTGTCTAAGCTTTGCACACAGATGGTACAAGTTACAAGAGATTGATGTGTGACCTAGATGCATCCTGTTAAACCTGTGAAATAAAGAGAAGGAGTGAACAGGGGACTGCAAAGTGGGGATGGAGGAGTTAAACAGAGGGCTTAGTTTGGGGGTCTGTGGGGGGGAGTTAAGCCGATGATAATGAAATATGGAGACAGGTCACCGAGGACTGCAAGGTGGCAGACAATAACACTGAGATAGATATGACAGAGCAGATGGAGTGTGAAAGTGAGCATAAAAGATTCTGGGCAAAAATGTTGGAATGTGGTTCAAACCCGAGCACGAAGAATGAATAGATGCAGCATGCATCGCTTCTCTGTTTGCCAGTGAATGTAAGGCATTTTGTATTTCTGTGTCTCCAAGGCAACATCATCCTCCAGCATGTCAATCATAATTGTGGTTGATTTGTGTGCACGCAAATAGGCTACATCCACGCACACCTCCTGGCTGGCACGCAGCTTTTTTGTCCTACGATTATCTGGAATATCACAGCATCAGAGCGATTATTTAAAATTACTAAAAACAAACGTACAGGGGAAAAAAAATCAAGTGTAGAGGGAAAAAAAATAAAAAGAACAATGGAGGCTGTCAATGTCATGGTTCTGACATTCATGATTCAGACATGTTTGCACGGTTTGCCAAGATGATACGATTTGTTGAAGAGACACATGATCCAAACAAACAAGTCAACACCTCTCCCACACAACAGTCTTTCTCTGCATCTCCTCTCCTCTTCCTCCTGTTGCCATCAACAATCCTCTTTTTACACACACGCATCAAAATCCTGCTCTTCTTCTTCTTCTTGCAAAGGAAATTTAAACAATGTTCACTGTGTCTTTGTACTGATAGTAGTCTACATATGTTAAATCCTCATAATCTGTGCAGCCCTGTATGTATTTAATGTGTACTGTAGACACCTCCGTATCCTCGTAGCTGCTATTGATGTGCTTTTTAAGTAGTTGCACAATTGAATTAAACACAATCAATATTTTATTACCTACCTTCCAATGCATTATTCATGTAGCATAGCTTTTTACCAGTGAAGTTTGGCCAGGCCTGATTGAAACCATCAATCAAAACATTTTCATCAGTACACTCTGGAGTTGTAATTAATGTGATCAATGTACGAGCTTTTGTAATAAAATTACTCTTTGCAAAATGCCTCTGACTGTCTAATAGCGTATTAGAAATCAGATTGAGCCAGAAAAATAGTCTGATCTCAGTGTCATGTTCTGAAAATTATCAGTCTCAATCATCAGCTCTCACAATATTCAAACTCATGATATTCTTAATTAAATTAGCAGAACTAAAAATTGACCTCAGGACGTGATCAGTGAAGGTGCGATTTTGAAATATTCATGCAATGATCGCAATACCATTTAAACCCTTCTCCCATTACTTTGTGGAGGCAGTGGGAATGTAACATCTGAGCCTGTTGGCAAGGTCATTTAGTGCACTCATTGGATTCACACTGGAGCGATCATTGCACTGCAGTCTATGAGGGTAAATTGGCACTAAACCAAAAAAAGCCATGCTGACGCACTGTTCTCAGCTCTCAAACCTTTTCAACATGTTGCACATCTGTCAATGAGCTCTGATAGCTGTGTTTACTCACTCAACTCTTTTAGTGTCATAAGCACCTGAGGTTTAAAAAAAAATAAATAAATACATGCGGGCTCAAAAAAACAAGTATCCATTTTTTAGTGGTTCTTCCGATAAATTGACCAAACTGTTGTTTTTTCTAAAAATTCAGGGTGCTATAACAGCGGTCACATGTTCATACAGTACTTTATTTATGTCACACCTGCAGCCAATTTAGAACCGACAATTAACCTAACACGCATGTGGGAGGAAGCCAGAGGACTTGGAAGAACAGGGAGAACATGCAAACTCAAAATCAATGCCCCAGTAGACCAGAGAATCTTGAAACCCTGAAATTTCTTGCCCTGAGGTGAAAGTGCCAACTAATGCACCATCACGCTGCCTGTTTTTACTGATAGAGCTGGTGTTTATTAATTGAATTGTGGCCAAAAAAAATTTCTCCTCATTTTGTTTTTATAACCCCTTATTCTTGCCGTTAACTACTGAGATCGCTGAAGCAAGCCGCTCTGTGGTGCTGTATTAAAGCACAGCTGTTCATTTTGCTAAATTCTAATTGGCACACTCTGAGAAGCTCACAAGAGTGCTGCCGATGTTTAGTAGGCACACCTGTTCAACTGCTTGTTAACACAAATATCTAATCAGCCAATCACATGGCAGCAACCCAGTGCATTTAGGCATGTAGATATGGTCAAGATGACCTGCTGAGGTTTAAACCGAGCATCAGAATTTAGAGGAAAGGTGTTTTAAGAGAGTTTGAATGTGGCACGGTTGTTGATGCCAGGCTGGTCTGAGCGTTGCAGAAGACTGTTGATCTACTGGGATTTACAGCCATCTCTAGGATTTACAGAGAATTGTCTAAAACAAAAAAAAAAGGGGGGGGGGATATCCAGCGGTTCTCTGAGTGTAAATTTCTTGTTGATGCCAGAGGTCAGAAGAGAATGGTTAGACTTCTTTGAATTGACTGGAAGGCAACAGCAGTTCAGATAATTGCTTATTATTACCTGATAAATCTGTAGGAACTGTGCGATGCTATCATGTCAATACGGACCAAGAATGTTTCCAACACTGTATTGAATCTATGCCACAAAAAATTAAGATAGTTGTGAAGGCAAAAGGTGGACTTACAATTATAAGTCACAACTGGTGCTAACAGGGTTAAAGGTCAACAGAGAATAAGACCCACATACAGACACCTGAGGCAGAGCTAATATAGCAGAAGTAAAGGTTGAAGCAGGCTAGGGTCCAAAACCAGAAAGGGCAATCCAACCAGACAAACTAAAATGGGAATTCACAGGCAGGCATCCAATGTCCAATAAACAGACAAAAGGTCAAAATGCAAGCAGGCAGAACCTGGGAACCAAGCTGCACTTGGCAGCGTTTGGCTGCTGACACTGAGAAAAAAAAGAAACTTTGAAGTGTAAAAAGACAAATTCTGCTTTCAGTCAAAGTAAGATGGCAAACTCAGGAATCATCTTCAGGGACGA